TGACCCATTACCCCAAGAACGTTCGGTCATTTCTTTGGTCACCCTGAATCCCTAGTGAACTTGCCTGGGGCTGAAACCAATTGGCAAGACACCCCTGAACAGTAAACAGAGCTGCATTGTTGGACTTAGGTTTGGTAGTGACTGGACAGCCCCAAACTACACAGTGGCTGAAAGAAGCTAGGACACTTCTCTGTCATGTCCAAGTCCAGAGGCCGGCCATCCAGGCTGGTATGATGTCAGGATTCAGGCTGTTTTTGCTCTGCTGCTGTGTGGTTTCTATTCCTAAGGTCACTTCCTGGTCCATGGGGCACCTCGATATCCACATGCCAGGCAGCAGGAATGAGGAGAGCTGAAGAAGAACATGCTCCTTCCTGGAAAGACAACTCACAGAAGTTGCACACACTCCTTCTTCCCTCCAGTGTTGTTCAGAAGGAAGTGAGGCTGCAGTGTCTTGGGGCAGGGGAGAGGCCACCGTGGGTCTCATTGCAGAGGAAACTGAGGAGAGGAAACAGCAGGGCGTGCAGAAGCCTTGCCTCAGGGTGGATGCCCAGCAGTGATGCCTGGGTGTCCTGAGACCAGGCAGGGTGAACAGGGTAGTTAGTTGGTGGCCTATGGACACTGAGCACAGCCTCATGGACCTAGGGGTAGTGGAAGGGAGGGGGAGGAGGTGGCTCAGTGGACCCTATGGGCAGGAAAAGTCACAGTGGAAAGGATAGCAAGTGCCATGGGCGAAGAACCTGTATTTCTCTCTCATTTTCTTGGACAGAATAAACAGTCCAAGGGAGGGTGAGAAAGTCCCTCCAATAAATGATTTTGAAATTCTTGTCAACAATGGACAGTGGGAAATCAAAACATACTTAGTAAGATGTGGAAAAATGGAACACTGACATTTCATACACACCAAATGTGAGGAGCACTTCATAACCAGCTGTGTTAGTCAGGCTTCTCCAGAGAAACAGTAGGATATACATAGATTTATAGGAGGAGATTGTTAGGGAAGGCCTCATGTGCTTACAGGGGCTGAGATATGCCACCATCTGCCATATGGAAGCTGGAGAACCAGCAAAGCAGGTGCTGTAATTCAGTATGAGCCTGAAGGCTGAGAACCTTGATGTCTGGAATACTGATGTCTGAGGGCGGGAAAAGATAGATGTCCCAGCTCTAGACAGAATTTGCTGTTCCTGTCTACTGATTCAAATGCCAATCTCTTCTGGAAACATCCTCACAGACACACCCAGAAATAATGTTTTACCAGCTGTCTAGGCATCCCTTAGCCCAGTCAAGTTGACATGAGATTAACCACCACACCAGTGTAGGGGTAGTACCCAATGTGAGCTACAGGGAGTGTGTGAACAACCTTTTTGAAGATCAGTCTGACATTGTATATTAGGTGTCTTAAAAATGTTCAGGCCCACAGGCACATGAAAAGATGCTCCACATCGCTCATCATCAGAGAAATGCAAATTAAAACCACAATGAGGTATCACCTCACACCAGTTAGGATGGCAACCATCCAAAAGACTAACAACAACATATGTTGGCGAGGATGTGGAGAAAGGGGAACCCTCCTACACTGCTGGTGGAAATGTAAATTAGTTCAACCATTGGAAAGCAGTATGGAGGTTACTCAGAAAACTAAAAATAGAAATACCATTTGACCCAGCAATTCCACCCTAAGAATGCAGGAGCCCAGTTTCAAAAAGACATATGCACCCCTATGTTTATTGCAGCACTATTTACAATAGCCACAAAATGGAAGCAACTTAAGTGTCCATCAGTAGATGAATGGATAAAGAAGATGTGGTACATATACATAATGGAATATTATTCAACCATAAGAAGAAAACAAATCCTACCATTTGTAACAACATTGATGCAGCTAGAGGGTATTATGCTCAGTGAAATAAGCCAGGCAGAGAAAGACAAGTATCAAATGATTTCACTCTTCTGTGGAAGTAGAAGAACAAAGAAAAAACTGAAGGAACAGAACAGCAGCAGACTCACAGAACCCAAGAATGGACTAACAGTTACCAAAGGGAAAGGGACTGGGGAGAATGGGTAGGAAGGGAGGGATAAGGGGAAAAAGGGGCATTATGATTAGCACA